AACATTCAACATCATTCAATTAACAGGACACTGAAAGAGTAGGGGACCAACATTCAACATCATTCAATACACAGGACACTGAAAGAGTAGGGGACCAACATTCAACATCATTCAATACACAGGACACTGAAAGAGTAGGGGATTAACATTCAACATTATTCAATGTTTAGCTCAATAAAGGACTGCATTTAGGATAGAAAAATTAGTCATCCATGAATGTGCAATAATTATAACTTTTAAGATGCATTATAAAAGTGCTTTGATAACAAATCATGCTTTTCGGTCATACATAATGTACTTACCACTAAACATTTATTTCTTGGAAACTTTATAGAACTGTTAGTTAGAAACATATAAGAAAAAAACAGTTGTAGTACAGTGATAAAAATATAAATTTCATCATTTTTAAGTATCTAAGAGTAAAAATGAAACAAAACTGTTCACTTTTAAGATAGCTCTTGCATACAAACCTTGTTAGCCACTCGTCTACCTCCTACAAAAGGAGGCCAACAGCGTTCTACCTCTAAAATTATTCCTAAAAGATCTTCTTCTTTCATGTTTCCTTTTAAATCAACAAATTTCTGAAAGCAAAAAAAAAAAAGACAGTAGTTAAATTAAAAGAATAATCAAGTATATTGCTGTCAAACGTCATCAACAAAAAAAACCATACATTTATATACATTTATATCAATTTACTACAAAATAGAAGTGATTGCATTTAGATAAAAAATTTCCATTACAAATACATTTAGGTTTTATCTATCATAGAGTTTTAACAGTAAATTAATTAATTAATAGAATTTAAGATGTATGTTTAAGGTTTTATTCATGGGTTTAAGACTTTTTTGAGAACATATCAGTAAGATTACTGAAAATTACACTTGATTTTTTGCTCAATATTATAAGTAATGTTAGTACTCATAATGTGATATAAAATAGCTGGTCTACAAATGTTTCGACTAATATCATCTAAAAAGAGATTAATATTTACATCCAAACAGAATGTTATGAATTAACATATCTCAAACATTACAGTGCATGTTCTTCACTTCTCAAGATTTACACAAATTACTGTTTTATGTTGAGTTGCTCTTATTCTGTCAACAATCAAGTGACTTTACACCTGAATGTTTTACACAGTACAAAGCACGCATCAACATGCTTACAGTTCTTCACTCTTTCATCTTCCTCTTTACTTACTGCAATGTGTTGATGCACATAAGCTCTGATTTCCTATCATAATCCAGATTTAGTAGATGGTAACCACATATCTTCTGGTTGTGGGGTCAGAGGTGAGGATGCATTTCTAAGGTAAGTACCTGTTTTATACTCATTTTAATTCTAAAAATGTAATTTCAAAACAGTCAAACTTACCTACCTCTGAAATAAGTAAAGCTAAAATGCCCAGATTGAGAGAACTGCAGATAGTCATAAGGACTACTGGGTTACTAAAATTTGAGTTCTTAGGCAGAAAGATAACAAGCTGGACCATAAAAATTTAAAACACAATCAAGTAGAGTTTAAGGGCATCCAGAACCAGATAGATTCAATGGACTGGTTTCATAGGGAAATGACTAAAGCAGACCAGTCTTATGAGACTGGAACAAATGAAGATACTCAGAAAAAACATTATTTTCAATAGGGTACCTTCTCACCTTCATCACCCCTTTAAATAGTGCATAAAAAAGGGGAGTTATATGTTTTAATATGTGTAACTGTAACATTCTCAGGTGTGATCACAGATGATGGTGTAATAGGTACTCTGCACCTTTGGTGGAAGATTCTCAGAATAGTAGTCAAGTACCATGCTCCTGAGGCTAAGGTTCCCTACATCTAGAGCCAATTAGAGGGGGACCAGGAAGGCCATTTGGCCGGGGCCTCAAACTCCAAGGGGGCCTCAAATTTAGTCACTTGTTATTTTTTTGCATCTATTAAATTTTCGACTTGTTTTAATGCACAGAACAAGGCTAGAAAAGCATTTATTAAATGTTAAATAATGTTAATAAATATGCTAAATAAAAAAATTTTAAATTATGTTTCACTTTTCTCTTGGATTAATGATTGTCTTATTTTGTTTTCATGTGTCATCATTTTGTATTTTTATTATAGTTTGTTTGTTTAAATTTATGCACAAAGCTACACAATGGGCTATCTGTGCTCTGCCTACCATGGGTATCGAAACCTGGGTTTCTAGCATTGTTAGTCCACAGACATACCTCTGTGCCACTGGGGAGCTTTTATTATAGACAGGAATCTCAAAAGATAGAAGTGGCCTGGACCTCTCTGAACCTCTGAGAGGGCCTCCATACATCTGACATGGGTGATCAAGTCATGAAGCCAGCCCAATCATCAAGCACCAACAGATAATTGGAAAGATCCAGGAAGGCCTGAGAATAGGCTCTACAACACAAGGACTGTGCATTGGGAACAGAAAATAGGTAAAGATGGATAAATAAAAGGCTGTAAGGTGAGACATTACATGAAGATTGGTTGTCTCATCTCTGATGTATAGAATTCTACATAAGGACATACAGGTAGGAAAGATGCCCACCAAAGAAAAATCAGCATCAGATATCATTCTCTGTCCACTTCCAGAGGTCATCACCCTTTCATGAAATACCAGTACAGAGGGTGGAATCTTGTCTGACTGGATGAAACCATTCAAACATGAAGTCTTATAATAGGTAGACTGTATCAGAACTTTATCACATTTGTTGACAGCATGAGAGCAAATTCAACAAGGTTCTTTGTATTTCAGAGGTAAGTCTGCCTGTTTTGAATTCTAATTTTATGGACAATACAAAGAATTATCTATAATGTACCAGTAAATAAATATATATGCAAGTTATCAAAAAATATACCATTTAATTATGTATGCCAGCATAAACAATAATGAAGAAGCAAATAAATACCACGTTAATAAGTATTCACACCACAACAATGACATAAAAGATAAATATCGATGTTAGAATTGTATACCCCATAGAATTTTAAAAAAGAAATGTTCTAAAATATTAATAACAATAATGTAACAATGAAGTAATGTCACTTTATGCTACAGTTTACAACTAAAAACCATAACTTTACCCAATAAACATTTTACAATTTTCTGACAATTACTTAAAACACAAACTACCATATCCAGTAACAAGAAGGGAGGTTTTTTTATAAGTAGGTAAAATGAGTTGTAGTGTATTACATCTCAAATTATATATTCTTATACTTTGAAACTATTACCTATTACCATGAAAAAATATGTAATAAATAACTTATTGCAATATTTTCTGCAGTACGTCTGTGGACTTACAATGCTAGAAACTGGGTTTCAATACCATGGTGGGCAGGACAGCTTTGTGCTTAATTATAAAGAAACATGTTAAAGTTTTAAATTAATTTCTTATTGGTATAACTTCTATTGGTGGAAATTTTGTATTTCATAGAAAAACTTTCTTGGTAATTCTAATCTTATATGAACAAAAGATAATTCTAATTTAAAACAATTTAAACATTTTTTATCAATGGTACACCTTTTGGTACTCTCAAGAATTTTTTTACTTTCACACTATACTGTGCTCAGTTATGTTAAAGTATTTATTGAATTATCAGTGGATAAGCTTTTTATAAACATTTCTGTTTTAATGTGTCTCAATCTGTGAGAACATGAATTTTTTTTTGTGGCAAACCTTCAATATGTATTCTTTATGTATTTGTATAGCAAATTTTATGAAAATAGTGCAAGTTCCATGAGAAATTCATTTTATGCATTTTTCTATGTTATCTCCCTGATGGCACTGAATTAAAGAACTTGGACTTACTTTCTGTAGTAACCATACTTTACTGCAATTTAGCAGAAATAGTTAAAGATGCCAAAAACAGCACAATATTTCAACAACACAAGAAGTATGGATGTGGGAGGTACCAATGCATCTCCAATCATTGAGGACATAATATGTACATTATATACGACCTTTGGGTTTTGTAACATAAAGCAATCCCAACTTCAAAATCATTCATGTCTTTATGCAAGGATTTTAAAATGGATGATAAACACCACCAGCTATTTCTATTGTCTAAATACAGTTAATATAAATATACACATGTATGAAATCAACTGCCTACTAACTACAAACAGAAAAGAGTTCTAGATGTTTACACAACAGTATTCAAAATAATCAAATTACAGATAAAAGATCTCAACACAGCTACTTAAATATAATAATTTTACAGCTGTATAAGTACAGTACTAAAGAAATGATGTTAGAGCAGTGACTAATATATATACTCACTTCATACCAAAATGGTGAAGAAAAAATAAATGCTGTTAAAATTGCTGCCAATGCCTTTGGTACCAATGCTGACACGAAAAGAAGAATGTGATCAGCCTGTTTCTCAAACTCCATTCTGTTGTCATCATGCATCTGAGAAATAAATCCAACACTTGCAACTTGTAATTGCTTCCTGATGATTTCAAGTAATTCTGCCTGTCACAAATTATAATTGTCAATAAATTAATTCAAATAATCCATTAAAAGGTGTAAGCTTTCCATGCAATATGCAAATTAAGATTATAATTAATGTAGTACAGTTTTCTAGTTAAAATGAAAGAAAATTATGTTAACAGCTAAACAGTAAAGTAAAAGTAAAAAAGAAGTTTGAATATAAGAATAAACAAGTCCCAATATTTAACTTAATTCTTTTGAAACATCTGTATATTTATCATGTAACCTAGTATTTAACTTGAAACTTATAGCACAATAAGACTTATATATAATAAAACTGTTTTACAGAGGTTGAGTACAATACATTAAAATGACTTTGGAGCCTCAGCAAGTTGTTACAGTCTATGTCACTTTGTCTGATCAAATTCTATCTGATGTCCATGCATCTTAAGAATAACTCTGTAGCACAGTTTCTATTGCAAAAGGCTCTTTCATTAGGTAGTTATATCTAACTGTTCCCTGCAGACTTCCCATAATTCATCTAGCATATGAGTATGATTGTTTCCCAGCACCAATTCCAACAGTAAGATCACATAAATATCCATAGGTGCTGCATCTGGTGACTTGACTGGTATGTTTTCATATAAATAGCATAAATATCCTTTTCATTCTTGAGCTACTTCAGGTATGTGACACTTAAACAAATGTGTCATGGAAGAAACTTGTGTACATGCAACTTGTGTTGCTATTATGGGCATTCTTCTTCATTATGTTGTGTACTGTTGTCTGGGACACATGAATGGCTTTTGTCAATGCTGCACTCTGCTTACCACAGCTGGGGTACAGGTTTTTAAAAGTCTCTTTCTGGATGGTCCTAGTGTCTCAAGTTGATCCATATTCCTTTGTCTTCTAATGGCATTATATAAAAAGGATGTCCTCGTCTTGGAAATAATAAATCCCTAAGGTGAATACCTTTATTACATGCATATATGAATATTTTAGATCAGAAAAGGCTGTTACATATAATGCTCAAAAGAGATAAATTTTCAGTGGCATCACTCTATATATGAAATGGCAAACAATGCTAAAATGTAGTTATGTTAAATGCCATTCCACAATAACTTTAAATCATCTGTGGTTGTGTAACTTGCTTATTTGCATATTAAAAATCATTTTAATACATTTTTATCATTTTAATTGCATAATACAGGTTGGTCCAAAATTGTCTTTCCTATTTTAAACTTTAATAATTAAATAACTAAAAAAATACAACCATGTAGTTTCAATATCTTGTAGCCCAACTAAAACAGTTTTTATTGACATGTAAAATGTCAACCCTATAAGAAAAGGTTCAATGTGTCGTTTGGCTTGCAGGGTGGGCCAATTCTGTGGCCTCTGCATTTGCCAGACATCACTTCATTGGACTTCTTTCTTTGGGGGTATCTTAAAGACATCATGTATTACACGCCTATAGCAAACATCATGGAACTAAAGACCACATCACCACTGTAACTGTAGATAAGTTGCAGCAAACATGGACTGAAAGTGAATATTGATTAGACGTGCTAAGAACCACTAATAGTGCACATGTAGAAGTCTACTGTCATGTCAATAAAAACTGTTTGAGTTGGGCTACAAGATGTTGAAAACAGCATGGTGTATTTCTTTGATTACTTAATTATTAAATTTTAAAATAGGAAAGATAATTTTGGACCACCTTGCATTGTTAACTATGAAGATAGAAATTCACCAACATTAACTTATCTCTATATAACATATTCTTTTTCAGACTATCATTTTAGTATCACCATTCATATTCACACACACAAACATTAATACATTAGCAGTCAATAAAGAATTCAAGTTACTTGTTTACTACCCCTAACCTGCTTGTATTATACTGCAAATTGATATTCTACTATAATATGAAATATTATATATATATATATATATATATTATATATAAATTCTTGTACTTGTTATTTTCATTATAATCACAAAATCAAATAAAAACTGTCATTAACCATGGTGCTCTTGGAAGGATATCCAGTTTTTCCTTTATGTGTAAAAGCACTCTTAACATACAAATTATGCTCCTAAACTGTTCCAAAGTATTGAACTTGGAAAGCATGCCACATTAAGATTTCAGGCATCTGAAAAAAAGTTACATGAAATTTTCTACACATGACAACCTTAGTTTAAAGCAAAATATAACAGGACATTTTTTTCATATTATAACTTTAATTCAAAACAAAATGCAAATTAGGAGATTTTAATATCTTAGTTCAAGTGTGACCAAAAAATAAACACAATGGCTACCTTTGCATCCAAAGCTTTACGATAGGTGGTTGATGCAAACAAAGGAATTTTCACATTCAGAGGGATGGATATAATGCCTAAAAATAACAATTTCTAATTAGCTTTCATAAATTAATGTTAATATTAGTAAGAGTATGCACTAGAAATTTAAAAAGCACTAATATTTATACAATGCAAGGAAAGAATAACTCAAAGTTTTGTTTAATTTTTTAACACTAACCACTTAGAACAGAAAGGTTCCTGTCTCATCAATTCACTATCATTAACAAACTGATTGAGAAGTGTATCAAAATCAAATCACAAGTAATACTTCAATAACAGGTAAGCAAAATAATATTTATCGAGATACACACTATGGTGCCACAATGCACACCCTTTGGGAAACACTCTTCTAGATATTAAAAACCAAAATTCAATATTGGCTTATTTCTGCAGTGGTAACAGTAAAAATAATTTTGCTTTCTACAAAAGAAATGCATATTACATATCTTACTCTCCCATTGGATGTCTTTCTTATCTACCAAATTCTAAAACTCTTTTAAGTTCTAGTTTTCGAACACACAAAAGCTAGTGAAGAATGTGTGCCAAAATTCAGCTTTAGGTGTTATTTCTTGTAATTTGACCATCAAGGAATATTTCAATGTGTTCTTCTTGACCTTGTATTTGGGGAACACTTTGCAAATGTCATATAGAAGAAAGATACTTCTGCATTTTGGTGCCTGTTTTTTTATTAGTCAACTGAAGAGAGAATGTGCATTGTACATGCAACTTTAGTGCTTTCAGATTCAGATTTGCTTTGACTTTAGAGAAGTTCAGTTTATATTTCTAAGTCTTATTTTCACTTGCTAGCATGTGATCATTTTTACTGAAAACTGTAAATTTATTGTTCTTCTTTTTTTATTATTTCATCTTCATCCTTATTTACATTAATCTTACTGCTTACGTTTTCAGATTTTATTCAGTAAATAAAGAATTTCATTTCATTTTGACTCAACCAGTGTCTTGTCTCTTTCATCTTACCAGCAACAAACCAACACATCTATCCTTCTGCATATTGTATATACAAATCTCTTGCACTATGAAGATCAAGTAATTGTGAGCTTGACTAAATGCCACTGCTGTATAATGCAAAAAGAACTACTTGTAATAGATATGGTCATTAAGCACTATTGCCATTATTTTTTCAACTATGAATTTATCATTTGGGTAGATCAAACATTGTTAATATGGCTGATGAACCTTAGAGAACTGAAAGTTATGTTTTGCACATTAGATCAAAACACTGCAGGAATACAATATTACTCTACAACACTGATTGAAATGCAGATGGTCTATCTCAGTGGTAGGTGAGAATTTGTCAATTTCTAGCATGTCTAGATCCTGGACATACTGCAGCCTTAAAACCTGTGGTGTTAGCTGTGACAATGATCCATGCAAATAGTGTACTTGCCAAGCAGTAAAGTGAAGCATGATCCTCATAGTTTGGTGAATGTATTACAGAAGCACATAACCTTTGGAAATTATTTGATCAATCAGGAAGGAATGATATATCATCTTTACAATCCATGCAAGCATGGTATACAACCTCGACTACATATTTCTAGAACTTTACATACGTGATAATTAAACTTACAAATTTTCAGGAATTTTCAGAATCATGATAATAGAGGTACAACTTAGGCTTCAGATCTTGTAACAAAAGACTCCAATTCTAACCTCTTTTATTAATTATGAAACTGTTACAAGTATTAAAATAATCACAAGTTAAAG